GAGGATTGGTCATAAGTCTTTTTTTTTCAGTGCCATTGTAACTTCAAGCAGTTGTTAAATGAATGGTTGTATGTCAAGGAGTATCTGTAAAGCACATTGGACTAGTGGTGAAGGCTCAAAACTAGACTGAATTCTAGCCCTGGGTTAGGCATGAAAGTCAGCTGGATGACTTGGTGACATTCAGGGGTGTTTTTTTCCCCCCAGCTCAATGTACCTCATAGTGTTGTTGTAGGGAAATTGGGAGGAGGAACAATATTAGGTTTGCTGCCTTGAATTGTATATGGAAAAAAGGCAGGATAAAAATCTAAAGAATAAAAATTGTTACCAGAACAGGGACCCTGTTTAGGTGATCTCATGGCCTAATATGTGCACAGGATAGGGGCGCCTTTATTAAAAACAATAAAGATGGTGTTAAGGGATCTAAATGAAATAAGCAATATATTTATTCTGGAAAAGCAGAACAGAAAATATGAATAACTTGGAGAAAACAAAGCTCAAAACCAGCACCCTAACTGGCCTGCTGGCTTTGCTGTCAATACAAGAAGTTTACACCAGAGTAAGAGGCTTAGAAGTTATCCAAAGCTTTCTCCCTCTGGTGAGAGTTTCAGCTGATTACTCAAGGAGCCACAGCTTGTCTGCTCCTTGCTGAAAAAAAAACTGCTAAAGTTTCCTGTAGTTCCTTCCTGTCTAAAAAGGCTTCAAGAGGGATTGTCTCCAATGCTCTGTGCTCTGATGGCTCTGGAGCCAGGCGGAGAGAGCTGTAAAAGCAATGTGCTTTCTGAGGGAAATCTGTCTGGATTTTGTGGCCAGGATAAGGGTGACATATATCCCCCATTCAGGGGGATCCAATGGTGAGGCCAATATGCTTCCATTTTCAAATGATAAAACCTTCTCTGTCTTATAGTGTCAAATTCATCTGATTCAGAGGTGATGTCTGACTGAAGCAACTGAATGCTTCGAGCTGTTTTGAGCTGAGAGATGAGTCATCAGGAAAAGGTGGGGGGGAAGCAAAGTAACAACCCAACATAAAAATGCATAATTTAAGGTCCTCCAGGTACTGAACCATGAGATCCCAGAAGATCCAGCAGCACAGAGAACAGTGAGGAATGCTGGGAAAGGTAGTTCTGAAACATCAATAAGACTATATGGACCATATCCTTTTCAATGCTTTCCTTACCTAATACATTCGAAATGTTTGGGGAACCTCAATTACCTCAGCTGTTAATAAACTTGGAGGGCATGCAGTTGAGGAAAGAGCAGTCTCCAGAATTGAACTTAACTTACAACCTAAACCAGTTTTGTCATCTTTTCCAAGTAAACCAGACAAGAAGCATGACAAGATGAGTTAATTCCACTTTTTTTGCAAAGCTATCTTAACAGAATCTTACATCCTGTTAAGTTAGAAAGGATATTTTTCTGAATTTATTCCTCTGCCTATTATGCAGGTGTGGGCTTCTGTTTCTTTTATCTGACCATTTCCTAGCTATTTCTTCCCTTTTGCCAAGTCTTTCCCACATGCCACTATCAGGTTTGAACTGAACTGAAACTTACACACATGTATGTCCAAATCATTTGGAAATAACAGTGTATTTTACCATGGATAGTTTACACTCAAATGTGCATAGTGCATAACAGTTTAAAATTGATATCCAGATGGGGTGACCCAGGGGTCGATACTCTCACCCTTCCTGCTCAACATATATATGAAACCACTGGTGAGATCATCCGTGGTTTTGGGGTACGGTATCATCAATATGNGTCTTGAGGGTGCTGCGGTAAGTCTCATGCCGGATGCCGCCCACGTTGATGACGATCTTGTCGTTGTCTTCGTTCCGGCCCATCTCCCCTTTCAAACATGACTTGGACAGCGGCTTGTTCCCAGACTTGCGCCCGCGGAAAGAGGAGACGCACACTGAGCTCAGCATCGGGGGCGCGGGCCGGGCCGGGCCGGCGGCGGGGGAGCCGCCCCCGAGGCTGGGCAGGTGTCAAATCAGGGGACGAGGCGTCATCGCGGCCCCTCCTCCTCCTCCTCCTCCTCCTCCTCCCGCTCCCGCTCCCGCTCTTTCTAGACGGGGCGGGCGGGCAAGCGAGAGGAGGGAGTCCGCGGCTCAGCGCCCGGCTCTGCAAAAGAGAGAAAGGAAGGGACAAGGAAGGTGAGTGCGGACGCTGCTCCGCCACCCTAACTCTCCACCCCCACCCCATCCGCGGCTCGGGATTTCCCCCTTCATCCCACCTGTCTCCTCCCACTGTCCCATCCAGCCACTCAGAGCGCGCCACTTGCACTCCTTGGCCACCGCCGCCCCGTCTTTTTTTCGGGAGCCACCCTGCCCCCCTCTGCTCTGCTGTGCTCCCTTCCTCAATTCGCGCTCTCCCCCTCCCCTCCCCCGTCCCTATCCCACTCGGGATCCCCTCTGCCGAAAGCTGTGGTGACCTCGGTGGGGACCCTCGCAGCCTCCTTGCGCGCTATCCTGCCAGCATGCCGCTCCATTTCTGGCGCAGCTCTGCAGGTCCCCCTCAGCCGTCCGAGGCCTCTTCTTCTTTCGTCTCTCTCACTTTTGCCGCCTTCCTGCAGTCTCTTCCTTTACCTATCTTTCTTCCCTCCTTCCTTCTTTCCATTAAGTCTTTTCACTAATTTCTTCCCTTCTTCCTTTCTTCTTTTCCATCTGGTCTTTTTATTCATTTCTTCCCTCCCTGTTTTCTTTTTTTCCATTCAATCTTTTTCTTCCTTCCTTCCCTCTCTCACTCCTTCCTTCCTTCCTTCCTTCCTTCCTTCCTTCCTCCCTTCCTTCCATCCATATTGTCATTCACTCATTTATTTTCTTCCTTACTCCCCCCCCCCCTCTCAATCTTCTAAAGATTTTCTCCTTTTCCTCTGAAGCTGCTCCTGGTTTCCTCTTTGCCTCTTTTTCCTGCCCCTGGTTCCTATCCTACATTTCCCAGCCCCCTTGCCTGGTTTCCTCATTTTCCACACACCACTTTCCCTGCCTCCAGCTTCTTCTCTGTTCTTCTACTTTCATTCCTTCTTAGCTCTGTCCAGCATTCCTACATTCTGGGTGGTGGGAATCACTTCAGGGTATGCTTTCCTAGAGGGAAGAGAGGAGCTGCTGGGGCCTTCCTTCCTCCTAACAGGCAGGTAGGTGGAGGAGCAGCCCAAGGAAAAAGGTACCCCTTGCCTGAGCAAATCTTCCCTTCTCCCCACCTTTCCTTCCATTCTCTGCTTCACTCAGCCCTCCAGGCATCAAACTTTCTACTCCTCTCCTTTATTTCCATTTTTTTCTCCCTCTCAGTCCTTCTTTCTTTCTTAGGCTTCCCCTTTTGGGGGGCCTCTCCCTCTTTTCCTTTTTCCATCTCTTCCCCTTTTTAGAAGGTGCTGCTTAGCCTGCACTGCCCTTCCGCTGCCTTTGTCCATTTCCCCATTCATCTCTCAGCTTCCCTCCCTCCCTCCATTTTCCTCCCCCCCCTTCCCCCAGCATCTTCCCCTTGTTGAGCCACTTTTCAGGGTTCCTTTTCTGCTTCTTCTTCAGTTATTCTCCCCCTCCTAAGAGTTGCCAAATTTTTTTCTATGCCCTTTCCCTGCATTGCTGTCTTGTTGGCTCTGGAATAATACTGCCCTGACTCACACTATTTGCTGATTGAGCGGCCCTTGGCGCTGCCTTAAGCAAACGCTCTAGTTTTGCTTCCAGGCAGCTATCCAGAGTTGCTACTCTATTTCTGCCCAAGTTCTTGGTCCCTTTCTGACCCAGCGTCCCACCCACCCTATTCCCCCACTGCCTTGTTTCTCCTATGCCTGACCAGATATCCCTTGAAGTCCCTAGTATAGAGTTTTCCAGATAATCCTCACTAGCTGGGTACACCCAACATGCCTAAGCAGTTAAAAGCTGCACTGTGTGCTAAGCCTAATTCAATAAATCTTGGCTGGGATTTTTAATATGTCATGAAAACTCAGCTTGCTTCATGAATTTCTGATCTGGTGAGTTGTGCAAATCCAGAAAGTGGATTAATTCAGTAACCAAGTTGTGGGTTGTGTGAATCCAGCCACTAGCTTCATGTTATAGTCCTTTCAGTCCTCCTTCAGTGGCCTTTCTACAATTGTTCTTTTGTCTTGATAGCTTTTTCCACCTGTAGTCTCCCTACAGAGGTCTTACAGATCTCTTCTCTTATTGGCTCTTATTGTTCCTCACAA